AAAAAAAAAAAAAAAAAAAAAAAAAAAGAAAACACTAGTTATGTTAATATTATTTTGTGTATATATTAAAAATTATATAATAGCACTTATGATTTCATGGTAATTAGATTATATTGAATTTGGAAACAATCTAAATATTCAGCTACAGGAAAATGGTTTGATTATGGTATGTCCATAAAGAGGAATGTTATTATGTTTCAATAATATTTAATTGCATGGGAACATATGCACAATTATTAAATTAAAAAAAAAAAAGGCTAGTGTGATACATTTTTAGAGAGGATAATGACCAGGAAATACAACAAAAATTTAAGTATGCATCTTCAGATAGTAGGATTATGGATGATTTTTATATTTTTTCTTCTATATAACTTTATGTATTTTTAAATTTTTTGCAATGAATATGCATTTTCTTTATAATAGAAATTTGTTTAAAAAAATCAGTGTCACATTTATCATAAGTCATGGCTACTATTTAAAACTCATGAAAGCTCTGGGTTTGAGGTTTTCTTTCTCAAGTTGTCTCTGTGTTTTCAGAGACCTAGAGAGTCATATAATCTTAGAATTTGAAAAGGATCATCTGGCCCAACCCCCAGCCTCAAGCGTAAATTCTTTGTAGCCCTGTGTGTTCCCACTTTTCACCTTCACTGATAGGAAAAGCACCCCACAGGACAGCCATCTTTGGGCAGTCCTAAGTTTTAGGGAGCTGTTTCTTATACTAAGCAAAAATACGTCTCCTTGTAACTTCTACACAGTGGTCTGATCTCGCCTTAGCAGTCACAGAAAATAAATCCAGATCCTCTTTCACATCACAGCCTTTCATATAGTAACCCCAAATCAGCATTTCTCAAATTTTGTTATACAAATTACCTGGGAAGCTTGTTAAAAAGCAGAGGCGTAGGCCCCACCGCAGAACTGGCATCTCTGGAAAGTGGGGCCCGATGTGCGTCAGATATGCTGTTAGAAAGGCTACTGGTGGGTAAGCAGCCAGGAAGTCACACATGTCCTTCAGAGACTTTACACTGAATATGGTTATATTTCTTTACAGGGGCAGCGAGCCACAGAATAAAGGAAAACCATGTACATATCCACTTCATTCTTTCAAAAATATTCTGGGCCAGAGTTCAGCTTACTATATACACAGCCTTGATTTCATTTTTAATTTTTGTTAGCTCTTTATTGGAGACGTAATTTTTAATTATAAAAGTGATGCATATTTGTTGTAAAGAATTTTTTTAGATAAATATTTTTAAAGCTTGTCTTGTCCTCCATTCCTTTCCCAGAGGTAATTTCTGTTGATAGTTTGGTACATCATTCCAGACTTTTTTCTTTATGTATAACATACACACACACACACACATGCACGTGCACATGCACACGCATCCATACATGCTTTTGGGTTTTTGATAGAATGAGATCATGTTCCTTGTACTGTTTTGCAAGTATACTGAAAGCTCCATGCAGGCACATAGTGCAGTTTTATTATCACACCTAAAGAAGTTAACACTAATTCCATAATATCATCTTATAATCAGATAGTTTGCAGATTTCCCTGATTGTCTCATTAATAACTTTTTACAGTTATTTTGTTTGAGTCAGAATCCAAACAAGATCTGCCACTGCATTTGACTGATGAGTCTCTTAAGTCCCTTTTATTTTATTTATTTTAATTTTTTTACAAAGATATAAACTGTCTTTATTTTCAGATGTTTTAAGTCCCTTTTAAACTGTAATAGTTCCTTCTCCCTCATTTTTCTCTTATCATTTATTTGTTGAAAAACTGGGCTTATTTGTCCTTCCCATGCTCTGGCTGTGGCTGAGTGCATCCATTTAGTGTCATTCTGTTTATCTCTTGGTTCCTCTCCTCTCTGCATTTCCCATAAACTGATAGTTGGATCTGAAGGCTAAATCAGATTTAGGTTCAATTTTTTGGTAAGAATACTTTGTAGACAGTGTTATGTTTAGTTATGTTGAATTAACTTGCTTTTTTTTTCACTTAATATGTTGTGTACATCTTTCCCTGTTGGTACTTATAGATCTATCTCATTCCTCCTTTAGCTGCTTCATAATTTCCTAGTATGGACTACCATGATCTATTGAATCCTTATTAATATAGATTACTGGCAGTTTGTAGGTTTTTTTTTAACAATGCAGTAAATCTATTGAATTCTTAGAGCAGTTCAAAACAGATTAATAAACAGAGATAGAAAAGGTAAGTTAGTGGTTTAGATGTTTAAGAATTATTAGTTTTATATTAAAACTAACATATTTATAAAACTCTAATTGCTAAGTAGGTTCATTATGTATTAGGAAAAAGGCAATCTGGAGAAGAGTTGGTTTGTCTTTGGTGTCTTTGGATTTGATGTGTGTTTCATTCCAGAAAAGAATGATGGGGTGATGTGAGGAAAGGTATGCGTCAGACTAACAATGATGTAATCATGCTCTCCTCCAGCAGATGGATGGAAATGTAGTTGTTTGGTTTTCAGAAGGGGAGCGATGTAGTGTGTCCTGTGCCATTTAAGCGTTTATTTTTAATTTATTCACCCATCCATCTGTTTATCTCAGATACCCAGCTAGCTGAGAATCTGCATGTAGTATTGATGTAACACAAAACCTTTCTGGTTTTTAGTGTACCCATTTATAAAATGGGAATAATTACAGATTTCTCTGGCTCATTGTCATCCTCATGGTCATATAATGGTATTATAAGTATTTGATGTGATCACTTAAACCTAAAGAATTTTCAAACTGCAGAATCTTAGAGCTGTTTTTATTTTGGGGGGAACTGTTTATTTATGTTATTTGTTTTCTTTTAGTTATAGGTAAACATTGGAAACTCCATATGGTAAACCAGTATTTCTACAGAAAAATGGCAGAGAAGTCAGTACTGAATGTAGTAAGTTGGCATTCTTCTTCAGGAAAAACTATACTAGGCCTCTTTGTTATCTTGGGTGATGCCATACTCCAAGTGGACTAATCTGAAATTCTTTCACCTAGAGATAATGTATGAGCCTTAGAACTCCTCATTCTCATGTTGCTATTTATGTACATAATTAAAATTCTAAGTTAAAAAAAAAGTTGTCCTGCTTTTTTTCTCTTATTATTTATTGAGTGACAGTTTAAGTGTATCTCATGTCCCTGTGTGTGTCTCTGAGTGTACCTGTATGTGTGGGGGGCGGTATGCGTGTGTGCATGGTGTGTGTGTATGTTAAAACCATTCACTCTGCTTCTTAGCATCAGCTGTCAGGCAGTCTCCAAAGATCAAGTTGAGAAAAGTGGCTCTGGAGCAGAGAGACGATGCTTCTATTGCCAGCACAAGGAGCAAAACTTGTAAGTAATAGTTTGCCTGACCCTGATGAGAAGACATACAAAAGAACAATGACCGTGACCCCTTATTGTGTGCCATTACCTCCCAGCTTGTACAGATCTTCCAGTTCTTGACTGCCAGCGGGAGATGCATAATGACGTAGTCTCTGTCCTCTGCCAGCGGAGGAGTGGTATGTGGTTGTGTGTGTTGGTTCTCTGTATGTAGGGCTTGTATTTGCCTTTGTGGCCTCTAAATGCACAGCTCATTGAACTCCGTCTTCCCGGTGCTGGTGGGAACAGCAGGAGTTTCTTTTGACTTGTTATCCAGCCAGGAAGGATGGGTGGGGAAACTGTATGAAAGAGGATTGAGAATTTCCAAATTTCAGTCAAGCTTAGAAATTATAAGTCATCTTTGTATTCTTATAGTGTCAATTTAATTCCTAAATTGTTGACCTTCCAGAACTGATAGCAGTTGGTAAGATAGCAATACACAAATGGAACATGCACATGTTAATGTTAAATACATTTGACAGAGCCAAGATGACAGGAGCGGTGCCAGCATTGTTACTGGATTAATGAGCCGAAGCATATTTGTCTCCAGAATAATCCCCCTAGTGACCCAGAAATCTTTTATGTCCTGCTATACTGAAATACTTTCATGTTACTATACCAGTCAACCAAATACATTAAAGCTGTGCCTAAATTATAATATCTCACTATAAATATACTATTATTGTTTCAGGCTTTTCCCGTTGGCTTGGCTTCCTCTGTCAGAAAGTAGAGAATCCACAGGTTTCCTCACTCTTGATCTAGAGAAGATGAAGGAATGGCCCCCACCACAGTGTGCTCTGGAGATCATCAATCAAAAGGTGTTTCAGAGTCTCCTAATTGGAAGGTATTACTTCCATTTTTAACACTTTAGTCGTGTTGAAACCTTGCCTTAAAATCTCTTAACTCCTCCAAGGACAGTGGGTCTCACAGAGCTGGCACCCAGTAGTATCTGGCTCATATTTAGGATAACAAGGGAATCACCTCCCACCCAGGGCAACTCAGTTGCTTTTATACTATGATCTTTTCCTTTCATGGCTGTTTGTATCCAGTGCTGCCTTTTTTTGTATTTAATACTTTTTGCATGCCTTCCATGAACTTTGAACTGCAGGGAATATAAATTTTGCATATTATAGTATTTTACATTTCCCTAGCTGTTTATACTTTTCTAATGCTATTTTCTATCTTTCCTTTTTGGCTTATTTCCTGACCTCAGTGCATTTGTACTGTTTTTCTCTGTCCTGAGGCAATACTCTCTACTTACATTTACACTCTTTATTCTGTTTCTTATGACCATTTTTTCTTATAATAAGACTGACTCTCAATCCAATTTATCTCTAACTTAATCAGGATGGTTCTATTTGAATAACTTTAGGGCTTTGGAGAGAACGTTCTCTACCATACAGAGTGATTTAAGCTTCTCTGAAGAGACAGATGTGACATGTTTTATTCTGTAATAATGTGTCCTAAGAAAGATTGCTTTGTCAAAAATCAAGATTTAAAAGCAGTTGTTTCAGTGGGAAAGAAAGGGACTAGTGGCGCTAAAGAATGCCTTCATCAATCTTATCACCTATGTCACGCCTTGGGACAGAGTCACAATAATAGTAGTAGATAGAAGAATCGAGGCCCGCTGAGGGACCACCCACCCAGGCAGTGGAGTAGCAGGTGCCTGGGCTGCTGGGTCAGCAGCTTTTGTGCTAAGTTCAGTGCTGGATCCCAGCCCAGTAGAGGCCTGTGTGATGCAAAGCACTTCCCTAATGGATCAATGACATTATATCTAAATGGCTCAGAGAAAATTCAAAATATATGTAAAATGCCTGTGTTCACATATAGAGATAGAAAAATGCAACTAGCTTGTGGTTAAATAGCAAATCTGAGACAGTTAAAATTAGGCCAAGTAATGAGTAATGATGATTTTCATTAGTTTAAAGGTAAAATTCAGAATGCTTGAGCTCAGCAAAAAAAAGAGATTATGTTTTCCTCATTCTCCTATCTTGATGAACACACTTGGCACAATCTTTTGGAAAAGGCTGGGTATTTAGAGGAACATTTTCGTCTGTGACCAGCACTATTCATGATTATTTATGGGAGCTGAGGAATTTACCGTGAGTGTACGTTTTCACTTTTTATTTAATTCATTGCACCCACCCAAGTTAATGCAAAAACCACTGTCAGAGGGACCAGCAGTATATTTGTGGGACTACACCCTCATCCAAGGCTTAATTTTAATTAAAAGTAAATATTTGCAATAATGGTTTTGTTCACCACTGGTTGAAAGAAACTTGCTTGAGGTTTTGGTTTTCACCCTGTCTACCTCCTGTCTGATGTTTTGTTTCCCTTCTGAGAGGTTCAGATTTCAAGTCAATAATTAGCCAGCACATAGTTCTAAAGGTACAATTAGGTCAAACTCCAGATATAACCGAAGTTCAGGCTTATTTAAGTTTATGAAATGATAGCCAAGCACATTTCTCAGTGGGAGAAAAGTTTGTTTTCATAAACAAGCGTTTCACTATTTCACATTTTGTTCAGTGCTGAGTCACCTGTATTTCACATTTAAGGGCCTTTATCATCTTAATCAGCTCTAGAACTTAGTTGTTCAACTTTAGCTGTGACTCTTGAAGGCAAAAGAAAAGCGAAGGAAGTGACTCTTCTCCCTGCCCACCCTCCCACCTGTGACGTAGTCTTCAGACTCAGCATTGGCAAAGTCACTCCGTAAACTCTCTCTCCTCTCAGGTACACCCTGAAGGTACACACTGAAGACTCACTTCAGTGCTGGCCTGTTTTGGGAGTGTACAGGACAGGTGGAACAAAAAAATGCAAAGATGGAGGAAAATACAGGATGCGAAGACTGCTCCCCACACTCAAAAGTGAAGTCATTAGTGAGTCCTTTAAATGCTTATTTGACACAATACTGGGATTTTGTTAGTGACCCCAAATTTGAGTGTGGTTGGAGGAATTATTTTTTTAATAAATTTATTTATTTTATTTTTGGCTGCACTGGGTATTTGCTGCTTCCTCTAGTTGCGGTGAGCGGCGGCTACTCTTCATTGCAGTGCACGGGCTTCTCATCATGGTGGCCTCTCGTTGCAGAGCACGGGCTCTAGGCACGTGGGCTTCAGTAGTTGCAGCATGCAGGCTCAGTAGTTGTGGTGCGCAGGCTCTAGAGTGCGGGCTAAGTAGTTATGGCGAACGGTCTTAGTTACTCCAAGGCATGTGGCATCTTCCCGGACCAGGGATCGAACCCATGTCCCCTGCATTGGCAGGCGGATACTTAACCACTGCGCTACCAGGGAAGTCCTAGACAAGATTTAACGTCTTATTACTTTCAGTATGAATAGGAATTTAAATGTCTGGCTAAGAGTAGTACCAGTTGAGATCCTGCAAGTCGTGCTTTAATGGATAGATATGTTTAATTTAAAATTAATATCTGTTTGCATAGTAAGGTATGCCACTGTCCTTTAAAAATCTCTTAGCTTAAACATGCACCATACAATATCTACTGTTGTAATATACTTTTTAAAATTCATTGATAGTATAAACTTCATCTCACTAAAATGATGACAAAATCAGAATATCATTAGACACCAAATTTGAATGTTTCCTTAAGTAAATTTCAAATGAGAGCTTAAGTGAATGTGATGGCCTCTGTGCAGAAGAGAGTTAACATAGCAGGCCTGAGACTGCCATCTTTAGAAAGACTTTCTTGCAGGGTTGGCCCTTAGGAAACTCAGCTTCTCAGAAATTTCCCAAGCTGATAAAGGCTAGGGCACCAGACTCTGCTCTGTCAGGTCACATAGATTGTGCAAATGATGTGATTTATGGCAAACACCTGATTTCCTTCTGGGGATCGTGAATTTTGGTAGTTGCTAGGCAGGGGCTGCTTCTGCGACCAGCCCCTAGTAAAAACCTTGGGTGCTGAGTCTCTTTAATGGGCTTCCCTGCAGCAGAAGCATTGCACATGTGTGGCTGCAGTTTTTTTGCTGGAGAAGGGAAGACACTCATGTATCCCTGCTAGGCTGGGCGGGAGAGAGCCTCTGAATCTTATGCGTGCATTTCTCCAGATTCTGCCCTTGTCTTTTTCTCTTGCTGGTCTTGTTGTGTACCCTTTGCCGTGATAAACCTAAGCCACGAGGACAACCGTATGCTGTCCTGTGAGTCATCTCAGCGAATTGCCAAATGTGTGGGTAATCTTGGGGACACACAAAACAGCATGTTGAGATGCTATTTGTCTCATTTATGTTGTGCCATCTTCCCCTCTACTTTAGAGGAAAAACATAAATATAAAAGGACTATTATATTTACATTAAGTATTTCCAGGTCACAAGACATTATAAAACAGTTTTTATTCGTCTTCCTCAAGCAAGAAGAAAGTAGTTTTTGAAAGCCACCAAAAACTAAGCTCCCTTATTTAGACCAAATTAGTGATTGGATTTTTTTTTCTGATTCTTAAAATAGAGTCTTTCTTCCTTCCCTCACGCTATGGAGGCAAGCTGTTTGGGCTAGTTCATAAGTAAATAGGTCATAAACTGCACTCCATTCAAAAGTGACGTACTTATGAAAGCATTTATTTGTCCTACAGAGAGAGCACTAGCTCATTTCAAATATTGTTCTCAGCCCAGATCAGAATGCTAAAGAGCACACATTGCACATTTTGTTTTAAACACAATAGTTTGTTTGTTTTTTGATGGTGCCATAAATATTTCCCTGGGGAAGCACTACCAAA